TTACTGCAAGTCTGGAATAACTCCTAACACATTGCTCAGAGGGGCTATATAATCTAAGCAAGTTTAAATTCTGTCCAACACCATATCTTCTTTGAAAATATTTGTATATGACCCATTTACATATTCTGAGAAAGCACAAAATTTTGTACAAATATTTGATATACGAAATATCTGATGACCAGCTCTTTTCACTGACCACCGAGAGAACTGCATTGTAAGCCGTGCCATAAACGTTACCCATTACCAACTCCTTTCCAAGCTTACCGTCATGTTCAAACAGTGCAGAGCCCTGCCCCTGGGGAGGCACAGCCCCACGCCCCGGAACACGCCGGCAGCCAACAGTCCGGAAAGCAGTGTGCCAGAAAAGGACTTGGGCGTCCTGGTGGACACCAAGTTGTGTGTGAGCCGGCAACACGCCGTCACCGCGAGGAAGGCCAACAGCCGCCTCGGGAGAGCTGCATTACCAGCGGGGGGAGGGAGGCGATCCTGCCCCTCTCCTCAGCACTGGTGAGGCCACACCTGGAGTGCTGGCAGCTAAACCACAGAGCGTTCGCCCACTCCCCTCTGCGGTGGAGAGAATCAGAAAAAAGGTAAAACTGGTGGGTTGAGATGAAGACAGTTCAATAGGATAGAAAAGGAAGGGAAAACAATAATGATCATGGTGATGATGATGATAATAATAATAATTAAAATTATTATTATATCACAAAACAAGTGATGCACGATGCAATTGCTCACCGCCCGCTGACCAGCCAGCCCCTGAGCAGTGACCGCCACCCTCTCAGCCAGCTCCCCCCAGTTTATACGTTCAGCATGACGTCATACGGTATGGAATATCCCTTTGGCCAGTTTGGCTCAGCTGTCCTGGCTGTGTCCCCTCGCAGCTTCTTGTGCACCCCCAGCCTGCTCACTGGCAGGGCAGTAGGAGGAGCCGGAAAGTCCTTGACTTAATGTAAGCACTGCTTAGCAACAACTAAAACATCGGTGTGTTATCAACATTGTTCTCATCCCAAATCCAAAATACAGCACTATACCAGCTGCTAGGAAGAAAATTAACCCTACCCCAGCTGAAACCAGGACATCGGTCCAGTTCTGGGCTCCCCAGTGCAAGAGAGACACGGGCATGCTAGAGAGAGTCCAACAAAGAGCCACAAAGATGACTGATGCACTGGAGCACCTCACGTGTGATGAAAAGCTGAGAGAGCTGGGACTGTTCAGCCTGGAGAAGAAACGGCTCAGGGGGATCTTATCCATACCTGAAGGAAGGGTGCAAAGAAGATGGGGCCAGGCTCTTTTCAGTGATGCCCAGTAAAAAGACAAGAGCACAAACACAAGGAGTTCCATTTAAACATAAGAAAAAATTTCTTTACTGTGAGGGTGATCAAATACCAAACCAAGTTGCCCAGAGAGGTTGGGGTTTGTTGGGTTTTTTTCACACGGTACCACAGATGCTTCAGTTAGCACCTGGATAACTTTTTGTACCTGCCCATATAATAGCAGCAGAGATGGGGAAAAATAAATTCACAGTTGAAAGACAAATTATTATGTTCTTGTATTGAAATAAGTTAGATGAACCAGCTTTGAAATGCATTACAGTTTTTTATCTGTGATGTTCCAGAAACAGTTACTAGCCAGACCCATCACAATTAAATGTATCCCCTCCAGTTTCAGCTTTACTGTTCTTTTTGCTAAAGATACAAGTTTTACAAACAGATGTACACTTCTGCAATTTAAAACAGGGGCTGTCGGCACTGTGCAGGTTTTGGGTACAACAAAGCTAGGCTGCGAATTCCAGGTCACTTTACATCACAAGCGCAGTCTTGCAGACAAGAGACCTATTTAATGTTTAGAGAGAAATCTTCCTTGAAGCTATATGAGTAATTAGTATGCTGTTAAATATTTATGTAAAATTCCAAGGAAACACGTGCACGAATAGAGTGTGGACGTGTGTGAGGACAGCATGGAGAGCAATGGAAACCCTGAGCAAGCACAAGACTTGGCTGAGCCCTCACAACCACTGCTTCAGTGGAATTTGGGAATCACTCACAGTATATCTTCAGTCAAATTAAAGGACTTCATAAAGTGAATATTCCTGACTCATGCCACAGGAGAAAAAGCAAACCCACCAAGAGGCCACAGAGCTAGCAATTTCTTCACGAGCTAAAGAAAAACTCTGCACCAACTTAAAACAAATGAGTGAGAACAGTAGATGAATTAATATTCACACACGCTTATTGTTGCAGCTACACTGGGATGCGAGAAACGGCTCAATTTAGGGACGCTTCATGGCATAAGTGATGACAAATGATGCCTAATGGGAATGAAACGACCTCAGACAATCTGACTCGACTTTCAGCATCCCAACATGCTGCGGCGCAGACGCCTAATTATTCTGTGGTACTAACTTCCCCTGGGTGGCAGGACCCCTCGTCCCCTCAGCTCTCCATACCTCCACTGCTGCTGGCTACAGTACAGCCTGATGACCTCTACGTTGACCATCACTGCCAGACAGCCGGCAAAGCTGTGCGAATACTTGAAACTGAATCACCTTTTACAAATTTCAACAGAGCAATCCAAGCAAGAACATATGATGGAGTCTACTTGCCAGCTGAAAAAGTTTTGTTGACGGCATGACTCCCTCCGTTCACCTTTAATAGAAGGAGATTTGATAGATGGGAACTAACCACAGCCTTTTCCCCATCATAAATGGAGACTTTTCTTTAGATTTAAAGTAACGAACATTTTAATGGCAACTATTAATTGTTCTCAACTGAAACCCCTGTTTTCTCTAGAAACATCTTCAAGCATGCAAGCATTCATTTTCAATGGATGAAACTATTCTACATAGGCTTAACAGAAGAATGCAATTTAAAATTTGAAATGCTCTTAAAAACCTGCATTTTCTAAAATATGACTTTCTGCTTAGCTGTAAGGAGAAAGCATTCTCAAAAGGAAAATATGAAAGAAAGTATGTGACAAAATGCACACTGAAACACGAAAGACCATGCAAAAATTCGAGCAACACAGACATTCAAAGCACACCCACAGTACCACAGTACACTGAAAATTAAGACAGCAATTTTCACCACAGTTTTTCAAACATAATCTTCTTTCTAAAAAGAAAAGAAAAAGAAAAAAAAAGAAAAAAAGAAAAAAAAGAAAAAAAGAAAAAAAAAAAAGAAAAAGAAAAAAAAAGAAAAGGCCCTGGCTCCTGCACTGCAAGCAGTGCTGCTTCGTGGTCTAAATTCTTGGGCTCAGTGTGTTTAAAAATTACGCCCTCCTCATGCTGGCAGAAGGGGTGCGTCTGCATTAAGGCTGAGGCACTTTCCCGTCTACCTCCCAGGCCAGCACCACCACTGCACATGCTGTTCCCATCGGCTGGTACAATTCCGTGGCCTCGTATGAACTAGGCACAAAAGCATTTTCAGTTTGTCGCCCGGCGGCTCTTCCCATCTCCAGCTCTGCCACGTCGTCCCGGAGCACCGCACCACCGCGCGCAGCGCTTGCCATCGCCAGTACCAGCTGCCTGCCAGCTGGGGAAAAAGGTGGCATGTTTGGGTGGAAAGCAAAGAAAAAAAAGCATTAGAAGGCGTTCTCTAGTTTCCCAGGAGTCCTAATTGTATCGCTAGCTGCTAAAAATAAGGACTAGTTTTGTTGAGTATTTTTATCCCTCAAAATTAATTTACAGCACATCTGCCGCAGTAGGATGTACCATTTCCCTAAAGAAAAAATGGTATTTTTTCTTGTGCAATTGGCTCTTCGATGGCAAGCACATTATATATAAAGCATTCGTGCACAAACAGTTCATTCTGCCCTGGTTATTTTCCCTGTCATAGCGTGAGTATTTTTAGCCCTCATGTGATCCTCCAGTATTTTCCAGCTCTGCTTTAGTCATCCTGCTCTCACTGAATATTTCAAACTAAAACATCTAACAGCCTTCAGATCTAAGAACCTCTCGCATTTTTATCTTACATGTAAATAATTAAATTTTATTAAGCTGTCTTTTAGCCACGCATTTTTGACACCCCACACCCATACACAAAGCAGTGCTCCACGGAGATTTGCTCTGACACACAGGAATACTTACGTAAGACTCTAAGCTAAAATCCTGACAACCCGATCGCCGTTTTCAATTTGATCAGATGGAGCTTTTTCTGCTGTTTTCCACAGGGAGCATGACAACTGGCACAAACAACAGTGCCCTAATATTTTAATCCCTTACCATAATTTTGACTCTACATCTGCAGGCTGTTTACCGCTGCATTAGAGAGGAGCGGAGGCTGCAGGAGATTGGAAGGCGGCTCCGGGCTGGCAGATGCTGTTCTGCCTAAAAGCAGCTGTGGTGCCGCTGGCCGAGAGCCTGCAGCGGTGGTCTGTGCTGCTGGCTCCGCTCCTCGAAGGATGAAAACGTACTCGTTCCCCCAGCAGGGAGCTGCATTTACCTGGCAAAACCTTGCTGCTCCTACTCTTTCTAGAAGAAGCCTTTGACGTGCATTACCGAAGTCACCCGCCCTCCGCACGGCCATCAGCTCGGCGTCAAATCCGCCCTGTCCCTCAAGGAAGGCTCGAGGCAACGCGGGGGTGGCACAGCAGATTAGTTGTAGGGACCTATTTACGGTTCTGTTTCCGAGCTGCATTATCCTTGACCTGTGCCGACTCCTCAGTCGGATCGCCTTTGGGAAGGGTAGGGCCATGGCTCTTGGACTGCTCCCCAGTTAAACACAAAACCTTGTGCATTTTGAGATTTCTTGAGTTCTGGTTTGTTTTAAAAGCATTTTTAAAAATGAAATAAAGACCACGCTCAGCATTGGCAGAAATGTAGGTAAATACCCATGCATAGGTACAGAAAGCAGCTACCTGATACTATGGGTCTTCTCAAGATTTACTGTCAGATTAAAATACCAAAAATAATTCGAACTCATGGCAGCTACCTTTGTGGGTAAGCTTTCAGAGCAGGCTTTAAGGATTTGACCCCTTTCTTGTTAATGGAAAGACATATCTTAGTCTGCTTCTGAAAATACAGAGTTAGAACAGAGTGTTATAAAGTAGTTATGCATAATTAAAGAGATCAGCACCTCCTAAATCACTCAAAACCAAAACTCTGGCAAAGGGCACTGGAAAAGTTATTTTGTAGAACAACAGGAATCATTTGAAAGACATGAAATTAGTAGTAGCTACATAAATTATTCCTTTAGAAATTTATATATTTGATCAATTTAGAATAGGCATATTTAAAGGTCTGTCAAACCCAAAAATATAGTGTGGATGAGTACCCATATGTCTACTTGCTCCTGATGCTAAACAATAAGTGCATACATTTACATATGTCCACTACACACTGTTTAAAAATTTTTGGATTATGTTGAAAGATCTTCTGGGTTCTTTATCTTCTCTCACTATTGCTTCTTTTTGTTTCATTAATGAACTGAAACAAGACAGCACGAAGATTTCAAAGCTTCAGTGTTAATGTAGAGCAAATCACACAAATTAAAAGTGACATTAAAAAAAGAAAATGTACAAAAAAGAGGCAAGCTACTGTGGCAAACTGCTACGGCAAACTGCTACAGATGCTGGCAAATGCTTGCTGCACTGGTGTAAGAGGCTATCACATCAAGCAGCCCACAATGTTTACTGCTCCCACAACAAAGTCAATGGAAGTAAAGCCATGCCCAAAACCTCAGCCATTTCACTGAAGACCCAATAACTAGAATAGCAAAATAATCAACATAGAAGTTATAGGTAACAGTGTAAACTATGCCACATGATGTTGCACTTACTCACGGGCATGCATTCCTTCCTTCTGCTTGTATCAAGGAAGACGAAACTTCAGATGGGGTGGGGAATTCTTAACTTGCAGGAGAACTCATGAGACCTTATCTTTTTTACCTTTTTAGTATAAATGGCCAAGCTTGTTTTACTCACACGGGCACATTATGGTTCCTATAACAACTGTAATGAATACTCCTTCACGAGCATGCAGAGACACACGCAACAGAGGTACAGAAGCACATTTTTACATGGTAATTTCCCAACTACCCAAGACTTGCTTCCGCATCATCCCAATTTACTCCCAAACAGCAGGAGGTGAGGCACACACAAGCTTGCAGATGCATATGGCACTCTTCCCAGAGCACCCTCAATCAACTGGCACCCAGTAAGGGCTCCCATCCTTTCAAGCAATCAGGCCACGTGATGGGGTGAGGTGAGGCACAAAGGCATAATGCATCAATGAAATGAAAACGTGCTCACCCAGAAACTGAATAAACCTAAGAGTGACTGACACCTAAATGAAATAGTCCTGTTCTAAAACGCAGGCAGCAATACAAGCTACAACTCTCATTTTACCTAGCATCACGTAATGACTACCCCCCTGCTCCCCAGCTCAACAAAAATTAAACTAGTGTCCTGCTGGTCATACTTCTGGACAACATTTAAGTTAATAACGAAGGAAACTTTCCAGGAAAAATCTAACTTCCACAGCCATGGAATCTTACCAAAGATCATTACATCACATCTCAGTTGTCCTATTCCATACAACAGCTGAGGAGGCACGGGACGTGTGCTTCATACAACCAGAAACATGACATGAGATCATTGCATTATCCTCCATATCAGCTGGCTGGTTCCACTGCAGAAGCTATTTTATTTCTCTAGGATTGTCACCTCCACAACTTTAATTTGGATGACACATTTGTGACTTTAGTACAAACAGACCGTCTGCAAGAAGATTAACAAGCACGGTAAAGTCTGTATTTAATAAAAGTGTCTTTTCCAGTTTCTCAATTGGATAACACCATGACATTAGTACTCGGGTTTTTTTTGTTTTCAAAGGGAGAGCAAGACATCACATGGAAGATTATAGTGTACCAGGCCCTGAAATTCAAAAGTTTGTTTTGCACCATCTTGTGTCTAAGTATGTAAACAAGCTTTAAAAGCCCAGAGCAGCACTGGCCTGCTATTAGATGCTCAGTTTCCTGGAAGCACTAATGAGCTGAAGGCAGCTGGCCAAGTGTGTCCCACTGACGTCAAAAGTGATCAGAGCAGAACGCTGAAATCTGGGTATGGTTCTGGAGCGTAGTAAGCCAGCCTAAAAGGGAGGGTGCCTCATACCTGCCCCTTCCCTTTGCCAGCACTGGTGCATACCTGAGCCCATGAGAAGACAGGTCACTGAATGAAGCCAGCTGAAAATTAATCATTATTTGAGGACTGGGTTAGCACGGATAAAGTAAACCCAGGACAGAACAATAAAGGAATTAAATGTGTGTGCACGTGTGTTTCTGTATGCACAAACCTATATATATATACAGGCAAAAAACCCCAGTAACACTTGTTCAGCGATTTTTTTTTTTTTTTTAAGAAAGTGAGCTGCTCTCCTGTTCACTTAACTCTCAGTTATCAAAAAATAGCATCTGCTTAGTGACCAGTCATGCCCATATTACATAAACACTAAAGATCAGGCTTAGTCCTTTGGCCTGTTCCAGAAACACTGCCATGGTTTAACCCAATAGGCAGCTGAGCCTCACACAGCCGCTTGCTCACTCGCATCCCCCAGCAGTATGGGGGAGAGAAACAGAAAGGCAAAAGTGAGAAAACGTGTGGGCTGAGATAAAGACAGTTTAATATGTAAAGCAAAAGCCACGCACACAAGCAAAGTGAGATAAGGAATTAATTCACTACTTCCCATCTGCTGTCTCAGATGCTAAGCCTATGACAAGGCTAAAAGAATGGCCCACCCACACGGGGAAATAATTTTTAACTAGTATTTATCTAAACTGGATCACACTTTATAATCGTCTTCAGAGACAAAAACTGAATTCTTGAAGACACAAAATACCTGCAGTGGGAGAGTTTGCATGGTGAGACTTTTTGGGCAGGTTGAAGATTTGTTCACCGGGATCTGGTGGGGGAAGAGCATCTTGGCCTTGTCGAGCTTCCACAGGATCATACTCCTTCCCATCATAGTTAGCATCAAAGAACTTCTTAAACCATTGAATGAAATCTAAGTTGTCTTGGAAGCGCCCTTTGACCAGTTTTTCCACGGGAATTACCTGAAAGGTAGAATAAAGGTTCCAATAATATATCATTGCCATTTTTAAATACAAAAATTACATATACACACTTGCTTGAAAAAAAAAAACTATTAACTATATCAGCATATATTCCTCTGCTGTTGTTTTCTTCCTAAAAGAAAGGAAATGATGTTAGATTTGGAAGTGCTCTTAAGAAGTAAAACTGAAATAAAATGAAGACCCAGTCTTTGAAGTGGCTATACAGTGGGTGTATGTAAGCCTTTATAACTGCTCTTCACAGTGTTACTCCTTTCTTATTGCAGTGACAGCCACGATGAATAAAGCTGTTCTGGGAGTAACACTATATTCAACTAACTAGGGATTTCTGGTTTTAATGGACACGCTACAGCTGGGCATACCAAAAATTAACAATTCTTCAAAAGGTCCAGATGGGAGTTTCTTGCTCTCTGTCCTAACGTTTGTACTACAGGAAAACCAGCAGCTTCTCCAAGACATGCTGAAGTTCAAACCAACCTACATTTTGGTAGTACATGTTCATCATATGAACTAACCCTCAGGTTTTAACCTTGTAATTTTTTTTCCATTCCATATATAGCTATACATAGAAAAGTTCCTGGACACGCTAAAGTTGACTAAAATGCCTATAAAGTTTTAGTAAAACAAAATAAAAGCTTTGAGGATGTCTCCATATCCATATCCTGCAAAGTTTTTCATGGAAGACTCCAAAATGTGCCTTGGGCCAATATCAGTGCACAGAGGTGGTTCAGCATTGCTCTGCAGGATGCTCAACCGTCCCAGAGGCTGTGGGTAGATGGGGACTGGGAAGGGAATGCTTCAAGGAGGAGAGCTGCCCTGCCTTGCTTAATTTATGCAGCTAATTAAAGAGCCAAGTTAAATGGATCTTAATGCCTCCTGAATGTACTAAATTTTCTGCTGGAAAAAGTGTACCCAAAATCATTGCAATTTTCATTTCTTCTTCAAAGTTAAGCCAACCGTGCAGCATTCTATAAGTCTATGTTACTCCTACAAGGATTAATGTAGCATTTTGTGTGTCTTTTCAGGTTCTTCCTTTTGTATGTTAATTCTGCATTGAGAAAGTATAGCAAGTTTGCTCCCTACAGAAAAAGTGACAAATGTTAGGCTTTCCAACGTTTTGCTAACAAGTTACAGTGTAAACAGAAGCATCAACAACATTCCAGGAAATAATGAGGGTTTGCCATTGCTTTAAAAAAAGTCTTACATGACTCTCTATTAAGACTGTTTAAATTTCAGAATAAGGCAACACTAAAAGCCAGAGCAGAACCTTAAAAGGCTATACAGGTAGTACATCTGTGTAAAACTAAAAGTATGACAACATAACTTTCATTATTCATTTTTATCAATGCAGTAGTTTATATTGGCGAGCCCGTCAACCTCACACATTCAAGCAAAAACCAGTACCTTATGGCTGAACAAGCCATTTTCTAAGAGTCCACCATTCTGAACTTTATGAGATCTCATGTGCTGGCCAACCTATCAGATAATTGGAGAAATTATTCCAGCTCTTGAATACTTTAAATTCCTTAAACCCCATTTTGGACAAGAATCATGGAATAGAAGAACAGCATATTTCCAAGTTATTTAGTTGGAAATTCAGGTCACCAGTAATTTTAGTGTATCTAAAATTAAGGTTCACTGATGGTAAGGAATTTCCAACACATGGTATTTTATCAAAAGGGTCTGTGATATTAAGGTGTAATGAATTAGGCTGCACAAGTCCTCAGCAGACACACAGACTCAATTTTCACTTTGTATCTAAACGGAGCACGCCAAATTTCTTCCTTCATGCCTAAATACCCTTTTCAGATAACGAAACATCAAGAAGAACGTCTCCACGTACAACTTGTACTCCAGTTCTCAGTCCAGTAGTTGAATAAGTGGACTATAAGTATAAATAAATAATTTCCCCTATTTATTGACTTCACCCAGCTTATACTTCTGAAACTTGTAGCGAATACAAATACAGTATGCTTACCTTATCCACATTCATTCTTTTAAATGATGCCTGCAGAAGTTTGAAGTTGTGAATGTATTCATGCTCCAGCTTTGCTTGAAACTTTACTTTCTTCAAGCTAATGCACCCTGGGAACAACATGTCCATGAACTGGCAGTAAGCTGCTCCTATAACAAGAGAATGCATTGACGTTAATCCAGATGCACCCAGCTAAGACCAAATGGCGTTTAATGTCATTAGCAGAAAGCATGAGCAGAAAGCAACCATGCTGAATAAGTCCCTGCTGTAACTCAACCTAACACTATGCACCCATGATCTACTTGTCGAATGTACATTGAGCCCTGTGACTTACTAATGTGCTTTTTTTCCATTCAGCCTGGATGCACGACACACTGTTGTGTAGCATCTGAAGAACCACTCTGACTAACGCAAAGTAAATCTTTCTTCTATTTAAAACTGATGTTCTTGGAGTCCCTATACACAGCAGGACTGTCCATACAGTGAGAAGATCACAGTCAAAATGGAAATCTCTTAATAAGCTTAGTTGTCACAGCCCCCTGAATTCCACCAAGCCAACATCTTCTTTCTTCTGGCACTTGTACTCAAATGCCAACCAGGTCCAAGGCAATCATTTAAGATTACATCAAACCACACTTAAAAAAAAAAAACAAAAACATTGTAAAGGTCCAGCTTGTGAAAACATACTAGCCAGTTCCCACCCCTGTACAACAAACATCTTTACTGATTTTCATTTCCTGAGAAAAGCATTTAAATGAGCAGACTTTAGCACAGTCCACCCATAGATTTCAGAAGCTGGGCTGCCAGCTTCAGTTCTCACTCAAAACAATAAAGTTTCTCAGCTCAACTTTGAGAGCTATCTGAACTTACGTATTAGTAGGTAGGGGTGTGTGTATAACTAATCCAGCACAGAGCTGCAAGCATATGGAAAAATTTCTAAATGGCGTAGTCAGTACAGCTGACAGGGATAGCCTTTGCTTGTATGCAGGGAGCTTCCTCCTACCACATCATCGTGTCACCGTCATTTGCAAAGGAAGTCTTCACTGCTGACACACTCGAGTGTTTGGAAATTAAGGCTGAAAGTGTTTGAAGAAATCAGAGGAAAAACAATTTCAGTTCTTCTTCAGAAGAGAGTTTTCAACAAAATGCTTTACACTCAGCAAAGACTCAGTGAAGCCCGTCTCTGGAGCAGAGCGTGCAGCCCCTGCACTTCAGCACACCGGGCAGGGCAGGGACTGCCCGATTACTCCTGACAAGTTCAATTTCATTTCCACAAAAAGGACTTTTGTGCATTTAGCGCAGATCAATTTTGATAGACAAGTGTCCAGATCTCACCTAACAGTTCAGCTCAGTATCAACAACAATGACTGTTATCAGAAAATAATTCTGCTGAGTGCTCATACAGAAACCAAATTAACCAAGCGGACACCTGGCTTGCCCAGTTTTACAGGAGGGGTGACAATAACTTAAGCTTTAAGACATTTTTCTCCATGTGTAGGCATGTGTTTTGAGAGGACCAACTTTATGCATGAGAGAGTTCTCATTCTCTGTATCCACTCAACCATCATACGGTTACAGAGCTCATAACTTCCCAAAAAGAGAAGCAGAGTTTAAGAGTGGACTCCAAAAAAATTTTCCCAAAATACTGGTACAGTTTTTGCTAAGGGACTAACGAAGATCAAGCTTCAGTGCTGAAAACCACTGGCATTTAAAAAAAAAAATTCTCTTCACATTGCCTAGCTTTGTGGGGGAAAAAGTATTATCAAGAAAAAAAAAACAACTGATTTTCCAAGGACACCTTGTGCTTAGCTGTTTGTGATGGTTTTGATATGATTAGGAATCAAAGTAAAATATTCCCTAAAGGAAAAGGAGCCTTCTGGCAAGTTACAAACATCAGGTGACAAATTTGCATCTTGTTATAGAAAGCTATATAAACACAATTAGTTATTCAAAACTCATCCTTAGCAAGAGAAGTCGTAAATATGTGGCAACAGAAAAATGACATTACAATTAAAAGCATGGATATACAGATAACACATGGCCCGACTACATTATTACTATTTAATTTCATGCAAAAGGATTATTATGCAATCATTTCATGTTATAAATTGAATTTGTTCCTAACTCTGTCCTTTCATCCTCCCCATACCCCAATTACAAGCTTTACTCTGATATCTAAGTAATTGCCTGGAGGCCTTGAAAATGCACTGTGCAACCTTTCATCTAGATCCTTTTAGAAAACTAGAAACCCAAAGTGTTCACATGAGATTTTCTCCTTCTGCTGGTAATGCAAATTCCTTCTGCATGCCTTTAGATAGAGCCTTACTAGGTTTAAGGCTCTAGTTACGGTATTTCCTGGTCTTCCCCTCCCATCATGCTGGCAGTGCTTTCTGTGCTTTTGCCAGCCAGGAGGAGGTCCTGGGTCCGCACGACACTCGCGGGCAGAAAACACCAGGCTGCATCCACGTGATGGCATGAACCTGGTCCCTGATACAACACTGAAGTCGGCTGCCGGGCCGTTTCCCCAGCGGAGGATTTAATTACGTCAGCAAACGCAATTCCTTAAAATGCTCCTTCCTGAAGTAGAGAGAGGCAACGTACAAACGTGGACTGAATAAACACTGTGAAGTACGAAGAGAGAAAACTCTTCTCGACTCCCAGGAGGCAGAGACCTGCCTACCAGAGCAACAGGAGAAAGTAATAATATCATTACAGTCAACTGGGACTACCCGATTTTGGCCATGGAGGTTATGTACACATTTAATATTATATAGGTATTTACTAATAATGTAAAATTTTACCCCCTAAAGCTTGCAGCTCTCACACCGCATTTGGATGCTGAACATCAGTGCAGCAGAATGGGGACGCTACTCTCTACGCTGCCCATCACTGCCATTTCCTGGAGGCAGCAGGAAGAGCCGCCCTACTTCGTTTGCAATGCCTTTACCTCACAGCCACAGTGTATAGACACGTGGTCCTCTGCATACTGGACAGCACTTTAGGCCTATTCAATCTACTACACAACTGATGCTTCAATGCCGATGCACAGGAAAGAAGTATTTTTAACACAACATAAAGAAAATGGCAGTTGAGATAATGACATCATGGCTTGTGACATACCTTTTGCATAATTTATATGAACAAAAGGATTTTTATGCCACTAGATTTTAGTCAAGATTTTAAAAGTTCCTTACATTTTCTGCAAAATAAAAACCGACGCCGAATACCAACACCCACCCAGCCCTCACCCCAAAACGTAACAACTCTATACACAGGAGTTGAAAACACACTGCCTGTCCAGAACGGCTCTCACAATACATCTGTCTCTATGACCAAAAAACTTTTATATGCATGAAAACATGGACATATACCCGCACACAAACAGCAATAATGGGAAATCGACTCAAATGAAAGGCAAAACCTACAGCTGGCAGCACTGCAGAAGAGGGATCAATGTTAAAACCCTCTCATCCTGTATTAGCCAACAAACAATTTAGAATCACTGGCTGGAAGTCCGTCCGTGTTTTGATCTAGAACATTGACGCAGCCGTTAGCCACAGAAGATATTCACAGGCCAGACGGCAAAACCAACCTGGGGAGGTGGCTGCGCTGGATTACACCCCCAGCAGCCCCTACTGCGGGCTTTCTCCTTTCAGGTTCTCTCCTTTCTCTTCTTCCACCAGAGGCTGGTGAATCCAAAAAAGCAAACAAGTGTTTTCTTGGTAATCAAAGGTACTTCGGCTTCTGACTATTTAAAGCACTAGGAAATTAAAGGAGATAACGAAAACAAGAGAATCCTGTTTTCCTGCACATTTTTACTGCTTGGTAAACCTCCTAGATTTCAGCTGGAGAGCAAGATTGGATCTGTGGTATTTTTGGCATTTATGTATATATATTTATAAAGGAAAAATGAAAATATTATTTGCAAACTAACTTCTTTAAATATAGTATATTTAGTACTCAGTATACTAATAAAGTGTTTAGTAGAAATACTATAATATAAGCTCAGGCATGCCCACGTTAATGTTTGTCCCCTATAGGAGGAGTCAGGTCAATCCTTCAACATCAGGCATCAGAAGACTCTGTCCCTCCCCGTTCATCCCTGCAGCGTGTGGGAGCAAGATCCCAGAAAGTCACATAAAACCACACCAGCCAACATGGTAACACAAAAGACCCATGAAAAGACAGGGCCCGTCTGTGTGTGGGGCAGCTGTATTTTAATTCTGATGTCCAAACCACAGCAAAAGGAGCTAAGTGCTACACTAGAAATTTGTTATAAATGCTTAGTAAGAATTCTGTTCTAAAATGGAATGCAATTCAAGTTTAAATCTTTTAACCAGGACTCAGTTCGATTTTCACACACTCATTTTTGAAAAATCCCATTTGGGAAAAAGGCTGACCATACCCTTATCTGTAATTAGAATTATTCGTTTGTTTCTTTTAAGGAAATATTTTTCAGATAATCTAAAAACATATACCCAATCGCATTAGATACAAGTTCCTTCAAATTATTCATTCCCTCCAAAGCTGCAACATCCTCACCATGTGTTTGGAAAAAACAGGATGATTTGTATACGTATTAGTCATCAGTACTTCAGTCCACTAGAGCGATGGTTGCTAACACCGATGGGAAACTGCACACACCCAGTATTCCTGTTGCTGGGACAACAACAACAAAAAAGGCAGTAACTTGCAAAGAGCATGCGTGACCTAATAGTTTTGATAAGAAAGTGGGGAAAAAATGCAAAAGCAATCATTGTTCACAGTACAGCAGCACTTGAGGCTTGCCATTTACCTCAGCTTCCTAGAATTGCTTCTTGTGGGAGTGATGTTAAGACAGGTTTTTGAGTTAGACATCATAGTATAGATTCTCATTTACATTTCAGATACGGGTCTTCTATTATGCCATTCAAGGATTTTTTTTAAACTGGGCATGTATGTGAGCATAAAGTTGTGTTACATTTAGCCACATATTTAAGAAATAGCACAATTCACGTTGAGCGCTCCATTGGAGACCACAGTCTTCAAAATCCTATTTGCATTTCCAGCAGCACCTATAGATGACCTAGGATACCGGTCAACACGATCTTATTTCTCCAATTAAAAAAAACCCAAAACAAACCCAACAATTTAAGAGGTTTCAGCCCAT